GATTTAGAAAGATTTATTCAAGCCATGGCCATTTAGCAGAAAAAAGGTGATTTTAGCTACTTTTTCCCCACTGGAAATAATTTCTTTGAAGTCTAGAGAAAATAGCAGAATTCTTTCTAGTAGCTGCTCTCTCCCTGAACATGTAGGCTCTTTGAAATGTCTTCATCAAACCATCTAACAAAGCCAAAAGGCTCTTTGGCGTTCTGCACGTACTCTCATGTTGTTGGCACTTGAAGGAAAACCTTAAGATTTAAAGGGAAACATAAAAATGGCTTTTATCGTGGTGCGTTTCAGATTAAATGTAATTTAAATTCCACAAATGTTGTGCCGCTTCATAGTTTTTTAAGAAGTTCTAGTGTACTGGCCAGCGCATTACACAAACCAGCTTTAGGAAGTGCTCTTAACCAGTAATGTGCAGCATAACTAATACAATTTGTCTACTAGTGATAGTCAGAGGTCATCTAATAAAGCAGCCTCTCTTGCTGAGTTATATTCAGTGAATCGATTTGTCATAGTGGGACCGCCAAAACCAGCAGTAATTCAGGATCTTCACAAACATTTAGAGTGGAAGCAGTTTAAGCTGCAGGTTTCAGGTCATTAATAAGCACTGCAGATTTAACGTCTCCATCCATTTAAGACATTTAAACACGCAACATCTCAGTAGTGTCTAAATTACTGCCACAGGAAGCGTCAGGCTACACAGTAATCAATCTTGCCTCTTGCTTTACCTGGTGTTACTCGTTTGCACTCGGTTGTGGCAACTTAAAAGTGTTCAGTAACTGAAGTGTACTGAATCAGTTCTGTCTCTGGATCTTCTTTCTATGGTGGTCATTCAACTCTTGGCTAAAGACAAATGAAACACCAGGTTCTAATGTTTTCTTTTTTTTCTTCCAGATATTTGTGCAAATGCCAATTTGTGATAGTAATTTCTTAACAAGGCAAGGATAAGGACAGTCTAGTTCAGACAAGATCTTTTTTTATATTCCATATGTATAAAATAGCAGCACGGTGGCGCAACTGGTAGAGCTGCTGCCTCTCAGCGAGCAGGTCCTTGGTTCAAACCCCGGTCCAGGGGCCTTTCTGGGTGGAGTTTGCATGTTCTCTCCGTGCATGCGTGGGTTTTCTCCGGGTGCTCCGGTTTCCTCCCACAGACCAAAAACATGCATGTTAGGCTGATTGGTAACTCTAAATTGTCCCTAGGTGTGAGTGAGAGAGTGAATGTTTGTTTGTCTCGTTTGTCTCTATGTGGCCCTGTGATGGACTTGCGACCCGTCCAGGGTGTACCCCGCCCCTCGCACAGTGATTGCTGGACATGGGCACCAGCGACCCCCGTGACCCAAAATGGAATAAACGGGTAAAGATAATGGATGGATGGATGGATGTATAAAATATTGCCTAAAGTATCAAATAGAGCACTGGCTCAGATGGAAACAGGATTATTGCACACCTATTCCATTTGTTCAGACTGGAGAGACGATGTCTTCCAGGTCATCTGCATAACTCCTCACTTTTAGCACTCTGTAAAAGACGTGTTTAAGATTACAGTTTCTTGATTTAACATGTTTAGATTTGGACTGAAAGCATCTTTAAAACATACTGAACAACCCACATACTGTCATTAGACACTAAGTATCAATATCAGTTATCAATACAGACATTACTGTAAAACCTTAAGAGTTGTTAGGAGGATGACCTTAAAGCTGTAGAGGAAGAAAAGGCACAGCATGAGTACTAAACTCCAGAACTATCTCAATACACAGTACCAATTGACAAGATCCAAGTTTTTTTATGATTTATAATTTTTATTAAGGGGCAGCACGGTGGCGCAACTGGTAGAGCTGCTGCCTCTCAGCGAGCTGGTCCCTGGTTCAAACCCCGGTCCAGGGGCCTTTCTGGGTGGAGTTTGCATGTTCTCTCTGTGCATGCATGGGTTTTCTCCGGGTACTCCGGTTTCCTCCCACAGACCAAAAACATGCATGTTAGGCTAAACTCTAAATTGTCCCTAGGTGTGAGTGAGAAAGTGAATGGTTGTTTGTGTCGTTTGTCTCTATGTGGCCCTGTGATGGACTTGCGACTCGTCCAGGGTGTACCCCGCCCCTCGCACAGTGATTGCTGGACATGGGCAACGGCGACCCCTGTAACCCAAAATGGAATAAGCGGGTAAAGAAAATGGATGGATGGATGGAATTTTTATTACAAAGTATGTTAAAACTGCCGATGGGAGTCTGAATCCTCTCACTGGACTGGTCTAAAAGACAGAACACTGTTAGTTGGTTGTAGCACCCTGAGAATGTGCAGAACAGCAGGAGATTAGCCACTAACCTTCTCAGATAGGTGAGGAGAGTTTGACGAGGGCTGAGCCAACTTCCAGAGCTTGGAGGAGCGGTGACAGTGGTGTTAATGACGTCACCGTAAGTGGTGGGCAAGCAGCTGGAGAGAGAGGTCTTTAATGCTGAGAGTAGATCTGACAGAGGGGCAAACTTTCAAGGTCCAGAGTCCAAGAGGTGGAGCAAGGCTCATACACGGGAAGGCCATTGTCAGAGAATTAATGCAAAGGAGAATCCTTAGTCAGGTACATCATTATGGGGCGGCTGTGGCTGAGTGGTTAGAGCAGTCGTCCTCCAATTCAAGAGTTGGCAGTTTGATTCCACCAGCAATCACATGCTAAGTGTTGCTGGGCAAGACACTGAACCCCTCATTGCCTCTGATATGTGTCCCATCTGTGTATGAATGTGATAAAGCACTGATGAGTCTTTGTATAGATTTAGTAGAGTGCTGTATGAATGGGTAAAGGAGGGCACATATTATAGTGTTTTTATAGTTTTGAGTATTGCGATAAGATAGATAGGTGCTATATAAGTACAGTCCATCCATCCATCCATCCATTATCTTTACCCGTTTATTCCATTTTGGGTCACGGGGGTCGCTGGTGCCCATGTTCAACAGTCACTGTGTGAGGGGCGGGGTACACCCTGGACGGGTCGCAAGTCCATCACAGGGCCACATAGAGACAAACGACACAAACAACCATTCACTCTCTCACTCACACCTAGGGAAAATTTAGAGTTACCAATCAGCCTAACATGCATGTTTTTGGTCTGTGGGAGGAAACCGGAGCACCCGGAGAAAACCCACGCATGCACGGAGAGAACATGCAAACTCCACCCAGAAAGGCCCCTGGACCGGGGTTTGAACCAGGGACCTTCTCGCTGAGAGGCAGCAGCTCTACCAGTTGCGCCACCGTGCTGCCCACAAGTACAGTCCATTTATCATAAAAAACTGAAACTTGTGAAAAAGTTCAATTTTTAATTTTTTCGTCAGTTACTTCAGAAAGTGATTATTAGTATTCTGACATTGTCTCTGGTTCAGGAATGTTTTGACTTGAGGATTGTAACATTCATAGCTCATGTCTAGGATTCATCTGTGCATGAGTTTTCATTATTGAATTTTATCACAATATTCTACTTTTCTGAGACACTGAGTTTGGGGTTTTGCAATAATCATCAAAATTACTAGAAACTTAGGCTCACAATATTTCACTCTATGTGTAATTAATCTATGCAATATACTTTCTGAAGTGGTTAACAAAAGCAATTGATCTTTTTCATGATATAATATTTTTAGATGTATCTGTTGCTCAGGTATTTGGTAGGAAATCAGAGGTAAATAGGAAGATAAAGGTCTGGGAATTTGTGTTAGGCTGTTCCTCCTGTAATTTGGTCTTTGATATGTGACAAAGAATGGCAGAATATATATATATATTTTTAACTTTAATAAATTACTCATCACACACCCATGAAATAAACCGATTTTACAGCATCAGGAAGTCCCATCACATTCTGGAGAACTCATTCCACCTGGGAGTTCAGCTGTTTGAACTTTGCCCTTTGTAGATGCCTCAGGGCCCTCAAATTATGAACATTATGAATTATGGTAGAGCTACAAATCTACAAATTATTTAATCAAAGTTAGTGCTCAATCATCCAGGTACAAAATACAATAATGGTCCATCAGGTCATCTGGACAGTTTCTTTTTTGTGGAAAGACGTTTCGCCTTCTATCCGGAGGGCTTCATCAGTCCAAGGAGTCCCAAGTAAACTGTTTCCCCCACTAAGCAGTTCACTCCTTTAGTGGACCAACCAGTTTGCTTGGGATAAATCTATTTAATCATGCAAAACACTAGAATACTACCAAAGTTTTATAGGCTTATATTTATGGTTTTTTTTACTGCTTTTTGTCCAGCATTGTTCAGATTTCAGATATTGCCTTATAGGCCTGCACCATTAAAATTTTCTCAAACGCTGAGAGATACGTTGAACAGTCTCCAAAGAATCTGGAAGATAAAATAAAAGTTTTAAGTTGTAATGGAGTAATGTAGGTAGTAATACAAAAATAAAAGTTTTGCCTTTATGGTCATTATTATATCATCAAACAAATCTGCAGAAAAAAATCTTGGTTTTGTGTCTGGTTTTTGCTAAAAGGCAACTAAGTCCAGCTAATAAGGTCCCTGTTTTTAACAAGCACTAAAAAAAAAGTCTTGCATGCAGCAATAAAGCTTTTATTTTGCTCCTTTTTACATAAGTAGCTATGTTTTATAACCACATATAAATGTGACTGTTCTTATCAAATGAATTATTTTTGCCATTATTTAACTGCAAGTAGTTTTTGTACATTGACACTGCAAAAAATAGTTTACAAATAAAGTGCTTTGCATAAATAAATCTTGTTTTCCTGTTGTGTTGAACTGAATCTCAACCATTTGTTTGTTAGATGGGCACACCAGATCCTCTGATAATAACCTATTATAAATATTTGGCGCATATTTAGCAATGCTTGTTCATTATTCTGGCATATGTTTCAAACAACCTAACAGCAATGTTTGCACTTTAGTATAAAACATATGCTTTTAAGGAAAAATAGGTTTATTTTAACGATGCCGTGGGAGGAATAATAAGGATTTTCTTTATGAACACTGCTTTGTGTTTGCATGTTGGGTTTAGCCTTTTGGAGGAGATGGCTGGTGTGACACTATCAACAACCGGGCCTACTGCCAGTACGATGGAGGAGACTGCTGCCCGTCCACACTCTCCACTAAAAAGGTAAAGGTTTCATCACACTGTCAGGTCAGGTTTGTGTCCCCGTTTGGTTTCAGCTTTTATTCTAACATCTTGGGATCAAAATGAAGCTTTGAGCCTGAAGCTGGATTCAGAGGGAGATTCTTCCTGTTTGCACTTGTAGGAATTAAGTCTGGTTTGGCACGAGCGCCGTGCCGCGCCACAGCCGACTTCAGCTAAGCAAATAAACACGGATCCCTGCTACTTTCCCCTCTCCTCTTTTAGCGACTGTGCCTATTTAGTCTTCTGCACTTAAAACAACAGAGGAGATTTGGGCCTTCCAGCTTTTCCACTCAGCTTGTAAATAAGCACCTTTCATCACCCCAGCACAGCTGTACACTTTTTCATGAAGCTTTTGCACCTCTGCACATGTTGCCACTCATGTTTAGGAACTTCAAACCATGCAGGTCTTTTGTCTTTGAGGCCTGACCAGTTAACGACAAATATTGGGCATCTTTGCGTTAACCATCCAAACAAACTTTCCCCGCTTTGTGCTCACTGTGACATGCACATGTGTCATGTTTGACTAATTGTAATGAATGATTGCTGCACATGTTGGGTGGCTGAGAAATGGTTTACATAATAACGAGCAGGCGCAGGTCAAGCAGGGGTAGAAACCGGCCGCTCGTTCCCTCAGCTGCTCCTAAATAAATACATCTTTCTTCCTATTTTCCCGTGCTTTCATGAGAAAGTCTCTCCCATGTGAATGTTTGGGAAGTATCCACCCCCTAACCCTTTTTTCCTCCTATATGTCTCTGGCTACTGTACAACCCCATTTTCATGACACTTATTCAGGGGGTCCTGCCTAATAATTCCTCTGGTCTACAGTTGGCCGAGCCCGGGCTGTCTCCTTCATGTCCTCAGCACGCCATGACTCACTTCCTAATAGAGAAGGAGTTCAGTGAGTCTGTAGCTGCCGTCATAATAAATGAGCTGCCAGACTGCCACTAACTGCTCTTTTACAGGGAAGAGGTGTGTGTGTGGAGGGGGGTGGTGTAAGTGTAAGAGCAGAAAGGTGTCTGATGGTTTGCGGTTTTCTCGGCCACTGTAAAACAACAACTCTATGAGCAGGGGTCGTTTTCAAGGAAGTGAACTCAGTGTCAGCATCCTGACTGCCACCAGCCTCTCCAGCAGAGAGCTGGAGCAAGGAGGTGGGTGGGGAGTGGGAGGACATTAAGGATAGGGGGTCTGTCTGCAGGACACGTTGTTCGATGTGGTGCAGCCACGCAGGTGTCAGAAATTACAAGATTTGACTGCACATGGCCTACATCAAATGATTTGTTTCATTTTGCCTCTGTTTAAATGATTGATTTCACTCACATACCTGTGTGCTGGATCCCCATATTTTGTCAATGACATAAAACAAAAACTTATCCAGAGGTCACTTCTAAACCCGCAGAAACATCCCTAAAATATGTTGTTTTTATGTCTGTAACGTGAATGAGCTCTTCCCGAGGCTGTTAAAAAGGATTCAGAAGGTTTTCGGCTCACCGTAATCCGACATCCCTAAATCTGAGCGGCGCTGTTAGGGAAACGGTTAAGTGCAAATTTGTGCTAAACGGGACTGCTGGTATTTTCAGTGGTGCTTGGCCTTTTTGCAGCTTGTTGAGAGCCCTCAGAGAATTGATTACCCCGCCGTCAGCCCCGTCTCCTTTCAAAAGAAGGAGCAATCAGCAGCGAGAGGCTGACAAGCTGCCACCTCCCACTCGTCTCCTCTCTGTTGCATGCCATCATCGTTATTTTCTTTTTCATGACTCCCACTCAGTTTTTTTTTTACTTCATCTCACTTTTCTTTCTCCCAGTTTTCCTTCGCCGCCCCCATTTCTGCTCTCCGGGAGCGAATGTTTACATTTCTTGCAACAGACTGCTTCACAGGGCACCAGAGTTTATTTTGCAACCTGTGGTGATGGCTCGCTTCCTAGACAAGAGCTGGCAGCCTCTTGTTGTTGATTCCTAACATGTGTTCATCCATTCACCTCCACGGTGGTGTTTTCCTCCCTCCTTGGCCCCCCTGAAGACCAACAAGGGTTTTCTTGCCGTTCAAAGGCCACGTTGAAGCATTTCACATGCACTTTATCGGCCTTCTGGGGGCTATTGGAGCTCTCTTTGAACCTGTGAAGAGAGGTAGTGAGCATTAATGGGTGCTTTCCTTTCAGCAAAAACACAACGGTCAGGCAAATGTTACTTTTATTGTCTGCTTTTCCCATTTGGGGTTATGATTGTTGTTACAGTTGAAAAGTAACAACTCTGCTGGGAGGCCCTCTTACTGAGTGTTACCAAACACTTTTAGTCATGTTTTTGTCCAAATCCACTTATTTACAAATTTAAAGGCACAGCATTCCTTGAAGGAATGTCTATCGTGGCTGCACCAAAGTTCATGCTCAATAATCCAGGTATAAATCCAACAATGTTCAGTCAGGTCATCTGGATGGTTTCTTTTGTTGCTGATATCACGGCTGCTTTTCATGCCAGAGTTTAAACAAACATCTTCTGCTGAGAAGGAACAAAGTTGTAGTCGTTTTGTCCAACCTTGTAAATAAGGTTCTGCACAACCTACTGTGATGTCGTGAGATCTCGCAGGATTTGTTAGCCTTCAGAGTATTTGCTGAGGATAACGCTCAGCTGCGACCAAACCAAACTTTAACTCAATATCTGTCAAATTGACTGCATTATTGTTCAGACATTTTTGTGCTTGCTAATATTGCTTAACTGTGACAGCCATCTTGAATGGAGTTGACTCCAGAAATAACAACTATTACGTGACCCCCACTGCCCCTTGCACCCAACACGCACACAAGTTTGTCTTTCTATCTTTACAGGGCCTTTGCATTGACACATTCATCTTTCAGTCATTTCTATATAGCCTAAACCTGACCCTTATCCTAAACATAACCCCTAACACACCAATGGCACTTCTTCTTATGGGGCCCGGGCTTTGGGCTAACAGTACCATGCTGCTAACAGTACCATGCTGCTAACAGTACC